AAGAAATTGTCCCTGCCGAGCGACACAAGGACTATAGGTCCACCTGAGAGCCAAGGGACAGCCAGAACTAGGATGATGGGACCAGGTGTCCTCTCTTTCCCTGAAGATTCTGTGGCCTCTGAGTCCAGGAGAGGTGTGGGGAAGAGCCCCCCCCCCGTGCCCCATGTTATATCTTCCTTCCTGGTTCCTTCTCTTCTCTCTTCTCCAGAGGGACTGTGTCTTCCAGTCAGCGGCAGCTTGGGGAATCTTCCTGTCTGATGCCATGTGAGCCTACGATTTTTGCTCATGGCAGTTCTTCAGTGAGGAGGATGTGGTTGAGGCTAGCTCATCCACGACTACTTTCTGTCTCATTCTGAAGCCACGTAGGAAAACTAAATTCCAGAATAAAACCCAGAAAGTCCAACTCTTGAGCACTTTTGGAAAACGGTCCTTTAACGAGGAGCGGAGAAGTGTTTCGTCCACTGTGGCGTTCCCTCCGTCATCCCCGTAGCCACCTTACCTCATAGCAAGGCCCGCGGGCAGGCTGCTTGGCTCCAGCCCAGGCAGGGATGTGAGGTCGCTTGGATACTCTGCAAGACTTCTCAAGTTTGTCCCTCCACAGTCACAGGCCCTACAGGAAGCGTCTCTTGTAGCCTTGGCTGAGAAGTACGGTGGGCGCTGGAGTCCTCATACATAGTCCGCCCAGCAGTCGGTTGTCTTTGTCACAGGAAGGAGTCGTGTCTACCCCTTGTCACCGCTGCCCACATTATTTCGTGCCTCTTTAGGAGTCAGTTTCTAGATCCTGCTCTTACAAAGTGGCATTCATACTTGGTTAAATGGGTAGAAGTTAGGGTGTTAGTCCTGTTCATTTTGTTCTGTTAGATATTAGGATGATCACCAACTGTGTGCCTTACAAATTAAACATTTTCAATCAACATTATTGTTTTTCTTTATTTTTTTACACGTTCTTTTCATGTGTGTGTGGGTGATGTGCCTACATGTGTGTCTTTGTGTTTGCATGTATGTGGGTGTTCATGCACGCACAGTGAATGCATGGGAGGCCTGAAGACAATGTCAAGAATCTTCCCACCTTATTCTTTTGACACAGGCTCTCTCAGTCTAACCCGAAGCTCTGTATAGTCTATCTTACTAGAACAGCTTGCTTTAGGGATCCATCTCCACTTCTGAGGGTGGAATTACAAGGTGTGCCACCATGTCTACCTGACATTGACCTGTACTCTAGGGAGCTGAACCCCAGTGCAGCAAGCCCTTTAACTGCTGAACCATTTCTAAGTTCCAGTAAAAACTTTCAAATGAAACTGCCCCCCTTTCTCTCTGTCTCCCCCCCACCCCCAACTTTCCCATTTGTATTTAAAGGATAAAATGAAGGCTGTCAGAATCTTTCAAAAAGGTGAGATCAAATCTGAAAGAGAGCTTGCTGGTGTTTGGGTGACAGCTCCATGTGTGAGCTGTGAGCCACAGACATGGCTCCTCAAAGAGGCCTGAGCGGATACATGTGACCTCTTCGTCCAGGTGACTGAAACAGACGTCTGTAGGTCATTCCATTTATACCAGTTGTTATAGGAAGGTGACTCCTTGGGGCAGTCATCCCAGTTCTGGTCCTTGTTGCAGCCTTACTACCAAACTGCTCTGCCTTGAACTCCACCCCAGCTCTGTCCTCAGCCCCGCCTCCAGCTCCACCCCAGGCCCACCCAAGCCCCGATCCCAGCCCCACCCCTTACCCCTGAGTCCCACCCTCAGTCCTACCCTATACCTTCCCATTTCACCCCCAGTCCCACCCCAGTTCCACCTCCACCTCTGCCCCAGCCCTACCCTAGCCCCACCTGAGCCCTACCCCAGCCCTACCCTAGCCCCACCTGAGCCCTACCCCAGCCCTACCCTAGCCCCACCCCAGCCCTAGCCTAGCCCCACCTCAGCCCCCCCCAGCCCTAGCCTAGCCCCACCCCAGCCCTAGCCTAGCCCCACCCCAGCCCTACCCTAGCCCCACCTCAGCCCTACCCTAGCCCCACTCAGCCCCACCCAGCCCCACCCCAGGCCCCAGCCCCACCCTCAGTGTGAAATTACGCAGACTGATTGTCTATAGCTTTTGGGATGATACAGCTCTATTCTCACTTTTATTTGTTGAGAGCTGAGGATTAGAAAACAATTTTAATATTTTTATTAAAGTCAACTTTCCTCTGACTACAGACCCTCAACAACACTTTGGGGAAAAGCCCCACATGGTTACCCTTTCTAGATCCTCCCAGCCAATGGAGATGGAAGAGCAGTCAGCCGGCAAGGCCTCCGCTCCCTACACATAGACCACTGCACACAGTGCACCCACACACGTGAAAATGGAGATGGGGGAGCAGTCAGCCGGCAAGGCCTCCACTCCATACATGTAGACCTACTGCATACATGTGCACTCACACACACATATATAGTATGTTCACCATCCCATCATAAACACATGCACGTGTGTACTTAACACCCTCACACATACCCATGCACATTTGCATGCACATACACGTGCACAGCCTCCCCCAACTCCCGGAGCGAGCGGAGCTCAGGGCTCCCTTCGGCTTGTGCCACTGTGACTGAAGGCTCATTCCCAGCAGAGCCCCAGTCACCCCCTGGTCCTCACTTTCAGTGGTTCAGAGTTAGTCTTAGAATAACTGCCTTAAAAATAGTAGGGTACCCCAGCCCTCCTTCGCTTTTACAGTAAACGGGATAAAAAATGCTTCGTTCTAAGGATGTGTACTCCACGATTCTACAAATGGACAAATTAAGTGATAAACTTACAGAATGACAGGAGTTCAGCTTTTCCTCTGAAGTCAGTTACCTTTCTGATTCATCTGTTACCATGGTCTGCGCGTGGTCTTTTTATTGTGCTGGATAGATAGTTGTGATCCCTGGCTACCGGGACAGGCTTATCTGGGACTCGCAGGTCCAGTCTGTCTTCCTTTGTCCTCTGTGTCCTTAGGAGGCCACCAGTGCTGCTGTAGCCTGGCTTGGGCAATGTCACTGTGGTCACTGTCGAGGGTTCAGCTTGAGTTTTGACAGCTGATGTTCTGAATAAGGCTGCATAGTCAGGAGAGTCCAAAGCCGCCATTATCTGGCCGAAACTATTACAGGTGAGTTGGTCGTGGTCCAAGGACATTATATTCAGATGCAGTAAGATGCACACGCAGAGAGCATGAGGAGCCATCTGTTCAGAGTAAGGCTCGGGTCAGAGCACTAATCGGGTCTTATCTCACACACTGTTCATTTCATCGATAACCACCATCCCCTGTCCTAGATCACCTTTGGTTTCTGGCTCTTCAGTGGATTTAACTACCCTCTGGGAAAGAAACCGTTTTCTCTCTGAGGGTGCTTTCTGCTCTCACCTCATCCTCAACCCTCCCTGCAGTGGCTTCCCATAATACTCTTGGTGATGGGACAAGGACAGTGGCACCAAGGGCTGGCCTAGGATTGCCCACAGTCCTTCAGATCAGCTGGCTCTGTTATCCTGACAGAGTGTCTTTCCAAGTGGTTGCTGCCTGTGAATCTGGGTTAGACGTCTTTCTGGAACTTTGAGTTTCTCTGTACCAACACCTACCAAGGCCCTTCCAATCTTCTGATGCCCACAGGCTTCAGAGTAATCTTGTGATAATCCCAGCACCCAGAAGTGAGTTAGTCCAGTCCGAGAACAGGAAATGTCTTCCAATGACGTTAGGGTTTTCACTCGCTTATTTGATTTCCCCATTCAGGGATTAAGCACTAAGAAGCTGAGCGTGTTTCCAGCCCCTTTCCCAAGAAGGGCTTTTGAGGCCATACTGAGAAAACAAAAAAACAAACAACAGCCAAATCCTGAGCAGACGTAAGGCCCTAAATCTGAGCTGGGTGTGGTGGCTTACCTGGAGCCCCAGCGCTGGGGAAGCCAAGGCAGAATGATTCCTTAGGGTTTGAGTTTAGCCTGGCCTGCAGACTCAGGATCCCCCCCCCAAAAAAAACAAAAAAGTTCTCTATAATCTACAACATATCTGGCTGTATGCCAATTAATCTTGCAAAAGTTACTATTCTGATTGTCTATTGCCATAAAACGCGAGTTGTTAGAATGGGTTGAACATGAATTCTCGGGTTTACAAAAAAATTGGGTCCTTCATCACATAGGTGGGAAGCATTTAGACTCTGAATTCTTGGCTCCCGATAGCACAGGGAAGTTGTTTGGGATGGTGGCCCCCTGAGCCTCAGCTACTCCCTTTGGTCTCTGGGCTGACTGGCTGTGGAGAGCTGGCCTAAGGCTTTGTCGAGAGGCTCTACAGGAGACTGACAGCTTGATTGGGAAGCCATCTTGTTCAGCTTAGACACACTATTTTCAGTTGTCTGGTATTTGTAAGACAGGGTGATCAAGAATAGTCTCCCTAAAGCCCAAGTCCTAGATCTATGCAAGCAAGCCAGTCTTTCCTTCTCACCAGTAGGTGGCACTTCCTCCCACCCCAAAGTCTCCTCCACCCTCCACTAGGCTGGACTTGAAGTACTGGCTGACCATTCCAGCCTGATGTGGACATAGGTTTGAGACTTCATCCAAACACAGTCCGGGCCTCTGGGTGTCTTCCTAGGGAAGTAAGCTGTCAAAGGTGGCCTTGCAGGGCCAGAGAACAAAGTGTGGATTCACTCTATTGGTCCCAAGAAGCCCACCCCCAAGTATCGGGTTGTTTTCTCTGGTGGATGAAGAATGGCTGTGGGAGGGGTCATCTTGCTCAGTCCTGTGATTTTCTGTCTTGTCATGGCAGTGTCGAGGACAAGAAGCCTGTGGTGACGCCTGACACCAACACAAGAGGGATGGTGTCTGATGAAATCAAACATATAGACGGCTGATTGTCTGGCAGGAGATTCAGGGGGCATTTTCATCAATCTTAGGGACTCAGAGACCCAGCTCGGGACTCATGGGCATCCCACTGGCAGAAGGGGCCTCATCACCCCACATGTGATGCCTCTCATGGTCCAAGGGATGTCCCAAGAGTGTCTGCCTCCTTAGCCCACCCTACCCCACTCTCTTTCCCCTCATAGGCAAGGGTGGATGAGGCAATGTCTCCCATGTAGCTGGGAGCCGGGCTCATCATCAGCCATTGGCTAGGTGCCCCCTGAGGTTATCTATCGTTCAACTCTGACGTCTGAGTCCTGGATTCTAGCATCATATGGTATAGTGGTGAGGAGCATTGCTGGGGGAGCTGCAGGTGATGCAGGTGGCTGTGGTTAGCTCTGAGTGCATGCATACTCATGCACACACACACACACACATGCAGGCACACATCCTTACGTAATGTGTTATAAAGTGTTCTCTCAAAATTTGCAGTGATTTAGAGCAGCGGAATGTGACCTTATTTCAAAAGAGGATCTTTGTAGATGAAATTATTTAAATTCCCACGAGGTCCTGTTGGTGAAGCTGATCTCTAAATCCAGTGTCACTGATGCCATCGTAAGAAGAGACACTACACAGACACACACAGGGAAGGGACCATGTGCAGGTGGGGTGAGAAGCTGGAGGGACACAGTAGAAAGGCTGGGAACTCTGAGGAAGGCTGCCCCCACCAACAGCTGGAAGAGGCAAGGAAGCATCCTTTCCCAGAATGCTCCCTGGGAGCTCGGCTCTGCTGATACAGGAATTCAAAGTCCAGCCTCCGGGTCAGTGAGAAGGTTACACATTTCGGATGACTGAAGCGCCACCCACTGACTCCACATTCGTTACGGAGTCCCCAGGACAAAGTCCAAGCAGAGTTCGGCTTGGGTGCCTGTGGGAAAGAGCTGTACTAGTTCCTCTATGGCTCGGACAACCGCGGGACAACCGGAGGAGGAAGGGTTTGTCAGGGGCATGCTCTCAGCAGTACTGCAACCCGTCACTGGGGCCTGGAGACGCTCCGGGCTGCAGCAGTGGAAACACAAGTCAGTGTATTACTTTGCTGTGGTAGTTAGGAAACAGCTCCTACGAGTAGTGGAGCCGGCCTGAAACCCTCAGGTGCTACTCGGGGGCTTTACATCTGCCTTTCAATCCTCGTGCCTGAGGGGGTGCAGAACAATACCAGCAACTGAGGACCAACTGTCCAAACACACGAGTGGGGGGACACCTGACGTCCGGTATAGCCACAGCTGGCCCCTCCTGAGCCCCACTGTCCTTCTCCCACCAAATGTAGGAATTGCATGGCATCACCTCCATGTCTTCTCAAGCTCTTCAGCGCTCAGCCCTGACTCGGACTGATGGGCTCAGCCCCAGGGATAATATTTGAGAACAGTGCCCAAGCACAGAAATGCATACTGTCTCTGTTAGTCACTGCCTCATTGCTGTGACAAATATTTGACAGAAGTCACTGAGGGGCAAGGATTTACTTTGGCTCCCGGCCTGAATGCACAGGGAAGTCATGGAGACAGATACATGGCAGCTGGCCCTGCCGCCTCTGGAGTCAGGACACAAAGCAGGAGCTGGATGCTGGCGTTCAGCGTTTTAGTGAGTTCAGGACCCCAGTCCACCGGACGGCGACCAGTCCGCACAGGCGTGCCCGGAGGTGTGCTTCCATGACAAGCTGACAATCACTGATGGAGGAAGGACATTGGTTAATTATAATAAAGAAACTGCCTTGGCCCATTTTATTGGTTAGAACATAGGTGGGTGGAGTAAACAGAAGAGAATGCTGGGAGAAAGAAGCTGAGTCAGGGAGTCACCATGATTCTCCCACTCCAGAGAGACGCAGGTTAAGATCTTTCCTGGTTAGCCAGCTCGTGGGCTACACAGATTATTAGAAATGGGTTAGATTAAATATGTAAGAGCTAGCCAGTAAGAGGCTACAGATAACAAGCCAGGCAGTGTTTAAAAGAACACAGTTTCCGTGTAATTATTTCGGGCATAAGCTAGCCATGCAGACGGCCAGGTGCCTGGGACACAGCCCTGCCGCTCCTAATTCAACAAATCACCATGTCCATCAGAGCTTTCACACCAGGGCAGGTTCTTGGCTTGGCTATTGCTCAACCACCTGCTACATTAAGTCTTGGTAGACACTTTGCTTTCTGAAGGGGCCACTCCTCACATTTAGAGCTTGTGTGACATCTGTAACTGGAAGAGTGGTGTCGACTCACCTGGTGGCTTCTGAGGAGGTCAGCAGTGATCACCCCCAGCGAGGACAATGGGGCCCTTTCCACAGAACACCTCCCTGACCATCACCATAGTTTTCAGTGGCGTAAGCTGTAAAAGTGGCCCCCTTAGGTCCATAGGGAGTGGCACTGTTAGGAGGTGGGGCCTTATTGGAGTAGGTGTGGCTTTGTTGGGGGAAAGCGTGTCACTAGGAGGTGGGCTTTTAGGTCTCAGAAGCTGCAGCCCAGGCTCAGTGGCTCACAGTCACAGGAAGACCTGCTGCCCTATGGAGAACTCTCCGCTCCTTTTCCAGCGCCTTGTCTGCCTGCACACCACGGTGCTTCCCGCCATGATGGTAATGGAACCTCTGAAACTGTAAGCCAAGCACAGTGAAATGTTTTCCTTTAGAAGGGTTGCTGTGGTCATAGCGTCTCTTCACAGCAATAGAACCCTAACTAAACATCCCTCCATTTACACCTCAGCTTGCTTCACTTCACCAAAGAATCAGTCACACACACGCTTTGATAGAAGCATGGCCAGGAAACACGGTCTTGGAGAAATGCTGGCATGTTGTCCCTCTGTGGTACCTAAGGTGAAGTATTTGTTTTTGATGGTTGATCATGGTGTAAGTATGCGTGTGTGTGTGTGTGTGTGTGTGTGTGTGTGTGTGTGTGTGTTGCATACAGAGGCCAGAGGAGGGCATCGGGAACTCTCTTACTGATCTCTGACTTATCATCTAAGAGGAGATCTCATTGAGCTGACAGCTTGTTTTGTGAACTGCTGAGCTCTACCTGCCTCTGCCCTCTCCTCCCTACCGCAATGCTAGGTTTATATCCACAGGCAGCCGGGGATTCAAACTCAGGTCCTGGTGCTTGCTTAGCAAGGACTCTTGTCCATGGAGCCTTCTAGAAGTAGCTGTCTCCCACACCATGTAACAAAGACCACATGCTTACCGGCTTTGCACACACAGAACTGGCCACAGACCTAAACCCCTGAAGCTGAGCCCTTAAATCTTTCCTGTTAAGCTGCGTTTTCCCCCAAGTGTTTTGTCACAGTGACAAACTTGACTAATCTACCAGAAGTTGTTGTATTCCATACCTGGCTGTCTTGTCCAGGGTCACAGAGGTTTTGTGAAAGGAAGGTATTGGCTGAAGCTGGATTCCTATACATGGTTTGAGGTTAGCTCCTGGTTTCTAAATTGCTTCACCTCTCTGCACGCTTTCGTCTCTGACTTATAGTCTGTCCCTTCAAGGGCTCATCTGATTGGTCAGCCAATCCAGCAGACCCTCCTTCGCAAACAGTTGAGCAAATCAAACCCTTACAGAATGGAGGCCCTACCGGAGTAGAGACTCCACTGATTAGGGACTTTCATTGTGTATTCCACCCCCCTTCCCTTTTGTTCTGTCACGTGACCTGATCACAAGAAGGATACTATGTGTATTCACAGGTCCTACCCAGCCTCCAGAGTAGGGGGCATTTTACCAGCCAGGGCCTGGAATACCAGGAGCCATCTTTTGTGATGATCAGGCTAGAGGAAGTTTCCATCAGCAACGCACAAGCCCTGGTTGAGGTCAGCAGAGGCTGCATTGCCAAACCTCTTCGGTGTTCCCAAGCCAGGCCATGGCATCAGATGTCTGCTGCCTATCTTCCTGGCGAGCAGACTCCAGACTTTCTTACTGTTTCTCCTCAGGCTCAAACACTGTGGGGCAGGAAGGGCTGACATTCCCTGAAGTTCACTTGACCTGGTTCCCAGGTTCCGCTGACAAAGCAAGTTTGTTGACCTCTGTATCTTGGCACTAAATGTACTTATTTGCTCAGGGTTTTTTTTTTCTGCCAAAGGGTGGGGAGAGAGGGTGGAGCTGAAGGAAGGCTATTTTGCAGTTGGTCAATAAAGGGCTTTGTTATGACTTCGCTCCATGTTGAACAGGTGGCCAAGTGTCTCAGTACAAGGTAGACATGATTCTCTTAGGTCCTCCCTGAATTCAGTCAAAGGCAGTTCTATAAATTAACAGCAACACCAACAACAGACAAGCTAAGGCTGCTGTTCCTTTAATAAAGAAAGGCTCTTCTAATAGAGCATGGTGGATCCCGCACAGGAACAGCAGGGCACAAAGTTTTCTGTAATCTCGTGGGTTTCAGTTACTGAGATGGTCAGCTTTGATCATCAGCTTGTCACAGTCTAGAACCACAGGGAAGAGAGTCTCTAAGGGGCCTATCGAAACTAGGTTGACCTGTGGACATACATGTGACCCGTGGACATACATGTGACCTGTAGGCATTCATGTCTATAGGGCATTGTCTTGGTCATATGAAGACCCAGTCTAAAAGTGGGCAGCAACATTCTGTGGGTTTGGGTCCTGAACTGTCTAAGAGCACAGAAAGTGAGCTGAGGAGAAGGCATGCGTGTGCCCCATCCCTGTCTGCTCCATGTCATGTGACTGGCGCATCAAGTTCCTGCCTTGACTTACCCACAATGATGGATTGGAACTGTGAGCTGAATAAGCCTCCTCTCTGTAAAAGTTGTTTCTGCCAGCAGCAAAGCAGAGCACTTCCACATTTGGTAGGTTTATGTTATGTGTGGTTTTAATTGCTTGATTATGCATGCAGATGGGTCACGTGGTGCAGATCAAAGGATGAGAGCCATAAAGGCAAGAAACTGGGTTCTCTTGGTTCTAGAACATGGAGAAGTCTGAGGCCTTCAGCACTGAAGCCAAAGGGAAGGAAAATCTATGTCAAAATATGAGCGCTAAGGTGGTGAACAGGCTCTAGTGGACAGGATCGCAAAGCGAGACCTGCTTATGCCATGGTTACCAGGGCAGGTGTGACGCTGACGGAAACCTAGTCCTCAGACACTGGGGCTCTTGGTACAGAGTGAGGGACTCGGAGGGTGTCATCTCTGAGTGTCCTGTCTCTGTGACACATAATTGTCCCTGCAGCCTGAGCAGCTATGTCATGACTTCCCAGCTTTCAAAAAAAAGACCTTTTCCAAGGAAATGACAAACAAGTATTATTGGGAAAGACTGGAAGAAGGCTGTCTTTCTTTGGTTGATTTGGCTTCCTTGGGAAATTGCATTATAGTGAGAGATATCATTATTTGTTTAATTAAATTATTATTTTAAATGGTACTGCCTACCCTTCTGATTCTTGGATTTTTAGATCCTGGAAACGCAATGAAGTCTTAGTTTTCCAGGCAGGTTGGCTTTGTTCTCAGACGTGATTTCCTTTAGTCATGTTGGTCGAGACAGCAGTCTCCTTGACAAGAAATGAAGGCATAGTCTTAACCACAGTGTCTTCCCAGATGACATGCTTGATGCTTTCATCAGGGAGCACATCTTCTGGGGACTCTGGGGTTCCCTGTTAACGTGGTTGTTATAGAGATACACACTCCCATCTTGTTCTGACGACCAGACACAAAGAAATGCTCCCATGAGCTTAGGAGTTAGGTTGGCCTCACAAGAACTCTCTAGAAAGCAGCAGTGGCATTGGAACTGACTGCATTGGAAGAGGTGTGACATTTCCCCCCAGGACATCTTGATAAAGAGGCAGCTCATCTCTCAGAGACATCTTGGGGTTGCCCTGTCTGGTAGGGCCGATTAGACCTACTAGTTGACTTAGGAGCAGTGATCGCCCTTCTGAGAAAGAGATTGTTTCTTCCTGGCCTTTCAGGGATGTCTGAAGATCCATTTCCCTTTTCTAAGAGAAGCAGGAATGGCAGGGTCACTCACAGGTAAAACCTGAAACACTTACTACAAGGGCCACCACCTTGATGCCATTTGCAGAGCCTTGAATGTCCAGTTACTGTGACATCTCTGTGCTTTCTGATAGCCAAGGGCTTGGTGTTACTGTAGTGAATCTCTGCTGTAGGAAATGTGGCCCTTACTGTCTGGGAGGCAAAAGGTGTTCCCAGGGGACTCAAAGGCGGCTGGCCAGTCTCAGTGTTTTCCAAACGAACAACTACTAAGTCATTTAATTCTTACCTAAAACTCAGAACATCATTACTAGTTAATGCCTGAAGCTAATTCTTGTGGAGCCATGCATCACAGACAAGATCGGAGGAATGACAGTTCCCAGAGAACCAGCCCTGTCTTCCACTCTCCCCATTCCATCCTGAGACTTCACGTGGTCCTTTTATGCCAGCACATGTGTGTACAGCAAGATCAGCGACATCAAACAGATGTGGGTTCAGATCCACTCTTCATGAGAGGAATGGAGAAGGAAGTTGATGCAGATGAGAATCGGGGAAGGGGAGGTGGGGTTAGCACAGCTAGGAACAGTGCGATTACTCAACACTTAGATTTTTAATCAAGGGATCTTGGTAATGAACAATATATCCTTTGTTGGGCCCAAAAAGAAAAATGCAAACCAGAAGCCAGTAGAGATTTAGTAAACAGAGCAATCTATAGGGCCCCGGAGGGGCATGTGTGCACAATGGCTGCTTTAAACTCTGCTAGAGACAGGCTTTGGTTCAACGGTCAATGCCAGTCCCCTTTGGCGGTGTCTCGCAGTGACCCAGGAGTCAGCGCAGAACATTTTGGATTAACTTGGATGATTCATGCTCACAAACAGCAGGGCCACAGGTCTTTATTGTGTTCACTGAGCTTTAAGATAATAAAAAGGCTTATTTGGGACAAAATCCTCCTCCTTTGGAACCCCTTAGAGTTGCCTATGAGTGTCTTCAGGTGAGGAACCTCAGTGTGGTCACCACAGGCTCTGGAACTCCCAGACAGCCGTCCATGTTCCTTTAAGGACAGCCACCTCTAGACGGTTCATTTCCCACCGTCACTCTGTTGGGTCTGTGCTTTCTTTCTCTCTGGGATCCAGACAGTTAATTATGACTCAAGATGACTGGGCACGGAGCTGCGTAGCCTTGGGCAAGTTATTTAATTTTGTTGAATTTCAATTTGCTCGTCTGTAAAAGACCTTTTCCACTCAGCTCTCGGAACTTTGATAAGAATGCTCATGAAAAATGCAAGAAAACACACAAAACTGGTAAAAGCAGTCACCAGGCTTTCTCCCTGGGTACTGGGATAGGTTTTTGTATACAGCGCTTTTTTTTTTTTTTTTTTTTTTTTTTACATTAGACACAATGGATAGACACCAAACACAGAGGGGGATATGGATGTGAACAACTCTTGAAATGTGAAGAAATAGGCCACAGGAGGCTGACTGGAGCCTCGTAGGCAGAGAGCTGGGCAGAAAGTTAGGACTTAGGACAAGCCACCTCTCCCTTCAAAGTCACACATCTGCCCACTTTGACTTTGCAAGAAGGCATGGGAGTGAATAATTTTGACTGCCAACAAAGCAGCATTGTGCAGAGCTACATGACTCCAACATAATTTTAGCATTAACTGCCTAGTTCTGCCCCCAGATGCCCTTTGTCCCTCCCCTAAAGAAGCCCCTGTGATCCGGGAGCTTGGGAAGAGCCCATCTGAGTCTAAATCACCTCAGAAGCCATTAGTAAGCGCAGGGTACTTACATTCAGCCTGAGTCACTTCCTCCAGCCGAGAAGACACGTGACGAACCGAGCAAGGCACAAGCCATATTTCTCCTGTCCCTGTCTGAGCTGTGTTCTGTCTTATCTTCTAGATAGGGAGCCACCATTAAAGGTGACCACAAATCTGAAGAGAAAGCCATCTCTTGAAAACAGGCTCCGAAGAGGAAGGGCCGAGGAAACGTCCATTATGTTGATGGTTGTCGCCTCAACCACTAGCCTAAATTTCTTCAACTGAGAAACTTTAAAAAGTCCTAGAGATGAGGAAAGCCTAAGAGGCTGGGTGACCCCATCCCTGCTCTGCAGCTGGCCACTCACAGCTGAGGGCTGTGCTCCACCCCTCCACCCCTCCACCCCTCGAGGATGCTTCTTACAAAATACTGTGTTTTAGGTTCCTTGATCATTAGTGGCCCCTAGAAGTTCTAGGCTTGGTCTCAGAGGCTGGCGGAGTTGGAGGGCAGGCCCGGGGATGCAACCTGGAAATCTGACTCAACAGCAGACTGGCAAATGAGCTTCTATGACGCACACGAGGGCCAGTCCCAGTAATGCTGAGGTCCCACTTCTTAAAAATACATAATTGTACCTATTTTATGGGTTCAGTGTGAGGTTTTGATACATGGTTATATTATATAATAATCAAACTAGGGTCTTTCACTTATTCACCATACAGTTATCATTTCTTTCGGATGAAATCATCTCTCCCAGGTGTTTGGCGCCTTTGATGTGATGGTGGCTTCGCTGGGTGCCGAAGCCCCAGTGCGTTGTTCATCCTTTCCAGTTGCATCTTCCTAGAACTGGCTTCCCGTCCTCCCCCTCCCCGTCTAGCTACCATTCCAGCTCCATCCTCCATGACATCGTGGTCCTCAGATCCCTCCCCTGAAGGAGATCACAAGGCACCATTTGATTCCTGTGCCTGGCTCGATCTTGTTTCATCATCTTCTGAAGATCACACGGGGAACACGGAGGTGACATTCCATTATTTGCTCTCTCCTTTGAGACTGAAAAACCAGCTTTAGAAAATCTTCCCACTTGCAGGTACCTGGAACCTCCTTGGGTGCCATGGTCGGAGATCTTTTTATCAAGGGAGCACCTCCCACTGTGAGACTCTATGGACAGTAGACACCTCCTCTCTGGGGAAGTATCTGAAGGCACAGAGGCAGGGGAGACTGTGCAGCACGGGGGTGTCTGGAAAGTGACACTGTCACTTCTTCAGGTGCTAGTGTCTCACAAGCCATCCCAACACAGAGCGGGCTCCAGTTTCCTGTGAGAATCTGGTCTGCTTTCTTCTTCAAGTCAGCTCTCCGTACTGGGGTGCTGTCTGGCCTCTGTTTCTTTCTCTTTCTTAACCTTTCCTTGGGGCCAGCATCAACTGGAACTGACCTCCATGAGTTCAGGGTGTGAACGGTGGCCATGTTTCTGACTAGCACCTACACCACCTAGGGCTTCATCACTGAAGATGATCCAGGAGTCTTCTAAGGATGTGAATTACTTGTCACTAATCCCGTAGCTGATCAGTGTTGATGGCCGTGGCCAGGGCAGGCTTTTTCCACATGTGCTTCTTGGCTCGCCAGCAGTGGGACCACACTGACATTTTTTTGGAAATGTCCATTACCAAGGTGCACTGAAAGTTAGCCAAGCTAGAAACTACCATGCTTACTTACTCAACTTCCCGGAGAATTCGTCTGTTTGCTCACGTTGGGGAAGCATTGTCGAGTGCGTGGCGGGGGGAGGGTCATCATTTTTACCTTTCACAGAAGAACTGGATGCCGAGCAGTGACTTCCTGACAGTGGCTTCTTTTCCTCATTCACACACTCGTTTCTGAACATAATGTTAGACACAACTTGGCATGGGAAGACCCACTAGGTTTGGACTTTCCCTCCAGGAGATATCAGAGAATCATGGCATAGAAGCAGAAGTTCCTACTTTGGGATAAAAGTCAGTGTGTGATTGGCTCTTTGAATGGTCAGGAAGGGTGGGCAGGAAGGCTGACACGTGTTTGAGGACCTGGTGGGAGGTGGAGATAATGCCATTAGGAGAGCAGAGTTAGCAGGCTAATGGTAGACCAACATTAGAAAGTTCTAGAAAGAGTCAGGAGACAGGTTAGGTGAGAAGAGTCTCTTAGGAGACCTATGAGAAGTCTGGAGATTCAATGCCCCAAGAGTAGGGGCCTCCAAGAGGGAGAGGAATGGATGTCTGTCCCCAGATCACCGCTCAGTTATTGACTCTGAAAGTCTCTATCTGATGTGGGGAGGAGAAAGATTTCCAGGCTGCGCTACGGTACAAGCCTCAAGCAATTTGGCATGACTCAGGCTGCTCCTGGGACAGCCTGACATGTCACTCCAGCGGCCAGCTAGGGCCAAGCTGTTCTCTTAAAGGAAAAGCTTTGTGCTAATGCCGAACTTGGAAGAGAGACCAGCAAACAGCACGTGGCAGCAAAAGGTTGAGTCACGTGACCTTACCCAGGCCAGCCTCTGCTCAGCACGAGGAGTTGAATAGGCAATTTCGTTCTACAGCACATGGTTCTCCTTGACCCTCAACTGCTCAGGCACCTGGACACTAAGGCATAGATCGGAAATGAGGGGGTTAAGGGTCCATAAAGCACCTCTGAATTATTAAGGGAAATCACTTCTCTGACTGTGCAGCCTTAGGGCAGGGCATTTTAATGCATTTAAATATTTGGAACAGAATGAAGTATGACCTGTGTGAGAAATCTCAATATCTTGACCAGACACACCATTTCCAACCATGCTGGACAACAGAGAACGTCCTGCCGTATAGCAGCTGCTATTGCTGTGGCTTCAAACTTGTTATCTCTGTCTTCTCTCATAGGCTCCTATAGGGGACACTTATTACTGCTTCTGTCTTATAGGTGCACTGACTGAACCATGTAGGTGACGTGTGACATCTTCCAAGTCACATAAGAAAAGGTGAAAGTGAAACCAGATAACATGTGTATGTGTGTGTGTGTGTGTGCACATGAGGAGCACACACACAGACATACACACATGGGTTGGGGGAGAAGAAGCACAGACAGACTTACAGAAAGATGGACACAAACAAATACATACATGGAATCACAAACGAGAGAGAGGGTGGGGAAGAAGGGAGGGAGGGAGCTGTGAGGGATAAACTAGCTGATTTGCTGAGACCAAACGTTTGCTCTTTACTTTGGCTCTGCTCTGCTTAAAAGTATCAGTGTTTCTGTGACTCTCTAGGTTCACGTCCATCCTCAGAACTTCCGATGTGATTCTGTTTTCTGACTCATGATTCTGCCCCAAGCCCATCGGTCGGCTTCATTAGTAATCGTCATCCGCCTTGCTAGGTGACCTGCTAACTAGTCAATGACCCTCCAGTTTGCACAAAGCAGTGCGGGAAGATAGCATGCTGGCAGCCTGGGACGACTCAGCCACTCTGACCGACAGATGCCGGCAGCCCTAAAAATAAAGACGCCCTGCCTTAGGTTTGTGTTTTGTTTACCAGGCACTATTCAACTTGGTGGAAGTCACATTTTCCTTTGCTTCTCCTTGTAGCAGCCCTTTCTACAGCCCTGGTACCAGAGGTTGAGGGCCCCTGATAACACAGACCTTTCTTCAGCACCGGGTACCTCAGGAACTTGCAGGCCGAATGAGCACTTTTGCCTGGGACTCCACTGGCTGCCGCCTCTCGCTCTGCGGCTTCTGCTTTAAGTGAATTAGGTAAAACTGACTTTCAAGGTCCACAGAGAAGCTTCATGCTGAGTTAATATTTTCCCCTGCCTAGAACTTTCTAGAATGAGCAGGACAAAGAACCCCTCCCCCAATGACTCCTGCCTGAATCTGGAGCTTCTCCTAGAGGGCAGAATCTTTGAAGGAACCGGGAGGGTTGGTGCGTTCCGAAGCGTGGACACAGGAAACAGATGCACTGTTTCCATCTCACACAAAATTTACCACCAGTCACCTTCAGATCAGTCAAGACGCGTGTAACCATGGCAACCTCCCAGGTCTAGATGCCCAAGACGTCTGAAGGAGACTCCCTACCTCGGGCTGTCCTTCTCAGCATTCCCATCCTTCCAGACCCTGGCAGGCACTCGCTTGTCTCTCTGGACCTGTCTGTGTTGGACATTTCCCTATGAGACTGGTGTGTTCCTTCGTGTGGACTTCCCACCATCCAAAGCACTGCCAAATATAAAAGTCTGCATGTTTCCCTTTCTTCTAGCCCATCCTCCAACAGCGCAACTCCCCCTCCTGCCCACAGATACTGTCTTTGTTTGTTGAACCTTCTAGAATTCATACATCCCTGTACGAGGGCACCTGACATCTATCTTATCTCCTATTTCATGGCCAGTGACGTTCTACACACAATATAAGGTTCCTTGTTTTCAGTCCCTTACCAAAACATCCTGGAACTCTGCTCGCATCAGCACCAGGTCGCTTCCTCATTCCTTCTCATAGCTGTATCGGAGTTTGTTGCCCAGCTGCTTCAATGCTTTGTTTAACTTAGCTTTTCTTGATGGACATCTGGGTTTGTTTCCAACTTCTAGCCCTTGCCAGTGAAGCTGTGAGGACTCACCTTGTGACCACATCTCTTTTAAGAACGTCTGGTAGCACAGACCCCCCAGAAAGTGGTGGAAAGGGTCAAAGGGGATATGTATTGGTTTTTGTGACCCTCTGTGTCTACTTTTGCCAGCCTTCCTGAAAACCAGCAGGCAGCATCTTGTTGACATTCGTTTCTCCTCTAGGTGGACAAGGCTCTCCTCTGGGCAAAGCCTCGCCCCAGCCTTTGGCATCTTCATTTACCGTTCTCAGAATAGATTCCTCCTTGCCCCATCTGTGCACAGCCCTGGTAAGGGCTGGGTCCTGGTTAGTTTCTGTGGCTGTGGTAAGCACCAAGCACAGCAGCCTGTAGAAGAAAGGGATATTTCTTCTTACAACTCTTAAGTCGCAGCACATCATGGAGGGAAGCCAGAGGCAGGAACTCAAGGCAGAAACCTGAAGGCAGGAACCGAAGCAGAGGCCATGGAGGGGCGATGCTGACTGGCTTGCTCCTCATGGCTTGCTCAGCCTGCTTTCTTGTATACCTCAGAACCATCTACCCAGGGGTTAGGTACGAGCCCTCAGTGTTCTGGCCTACCCCCACATCAATCAGTAATGAAGAGAATGCCCTTTAGACTTTTCCACAGGCCAATCTGATGAAAAAAATTTCCCAACTGTTTATCTTCCCAGACAACATGTGTCAAGTAACCAAAGAACCAACCAGGACAGGCTGTGAGGCTCGACCTTACCCTGTTGTCTGCACTACTGACCCTTCATGCCGTTCCCTTCGAGGACCATGCCTGGGTTCCAGTACTGGATTTTATTTTTATTTTATTTATTTATTTTTGGTTTTTCGAGACAGGGTTTCTCTGTGGTTTTGGAACCTGTCCTGGAACTAGCTCTTGTAGACCAGGTTGGTCTCGAACTTAAAGAGATCCGCCTGCCTCCCGAGTGCTGGGATTAAAGGCGTGCGTCACCACCACCTGGCTCCAGTACTGGATTTTAAATTGGGATTGAAAAGTGTTTGGGGTGCAGGGCAGAGCATGGGCTTAAAAATCTCATTGTACTTGTTCATCAATGTGGGGGCTGTCTTTGCACCCCAAGTTTATTTCTTGTTGATGGTATGGTATCAGCTGGCAAGTTCCATACTCCTGCCTTTTGAATGTTGCCTTTAAAACCTCAAAGGTATTTGGGAAAACCAAAAGCCATTTCAGCTCTGAAGACTTTTATTTCACCTTAGCTGAGCATCCGCTGATCTACTTATGCCCCCCACCCAAATACACCTCAGTTTCTCCCATTGGATGCATGGCTTTGGTGTGGACATCCCTTCCTCTGCTGGGGTGGAGGAAGAGGCAGGTTTTACCTCCCACCCACCTCTCACCTCTCTAAATATATAAATATATAGAACTCCTTCTGTGCATGCACGCGCGCGCGCACACACACACACACACACACACTCACACACACGCGCGCGCGCGCACCCCAGCACAGTTTGGTAAGAACTTGGAGAACAAGCTGTACCGGAAATGCATAGTATTCAGCTCTGCAGGAGGGATGGTTGCCTGTGTGTGTGACACCCAGCTATCATTTCAAATTCAGGAAAATAGTGGTGTGACACCAGAAGAAGGTAAGGCCCTTGGAGGCTGCCCTTTCTGTTTTCCAGCAGCAGCTGCAGGCTGGAGCTCATGCTGCTTCCCAGCATGGGAAGGAAGTTTGAGGGGCTTTCTGGATGGTTCTGGAAATAGGTGGGAAGCACTCAGGAAACATAGGCAGGCTGATCTCTGTGAGATCAAGGTCAGCCTGGTCTACAAGAGCTAGTTCCAGGACAGGCTCCAAAACCACAGAGAAACCCTGTCATGAAAAACAAAAAAGAAAAAAGAAAAAAAAAAAGAGTAGGCAGGAGGCTTCACACAGGTGGCTGGGTGGTGTAGGTTTTCTGCATCGGCTGCTAAGCATGTCCCCTTTATCCTGTAACCCTAAAGCACTGCCCAGCACCCCCTTTTCGCATCCTGTGCCCAGCAGTCTCACAGTCTTTTCCATCATCCACCCATGCTGACCCCGGACTTCCTTTCTCTGTATGGGATTCTGGCAACAAAAGAGACTGGGATAGAGTCTAACAAAATACCAGAGATCGTGTGCTTAAAAAAAAAAATCTAAATGTTTTAAATGTATTATTTTTATTGTTGTTCTTAAAAAAAAACTTTATTATAAGAAGTTGCAGATAAAATTCCTTGGTGACTCTCCTCCAGGTCAGACTATACAAGTGACGGCACGTGAAACCAGCTGTTAGAGAAAGGGTGGTGGTGGGCTCTGGCGGTGCTGACTTGCAACCCGGGGAGCAGGAGGCTGAGGGAGGAAGGTTGCAAGCAAGAGGCTGGCATGTTCTACATAGCAAGCTCCTGTCTCAAGAAACAGACAGAATATGCATCGATCACTTGTAACCTAATACTTTTTGTTCATGCATTCACAAGATGCTCAGCTCCAGTCATGAGGTGTCTCCAGCTCTTTCCCCAAATCTGACTCTATCCAGATTGCGGAGAAGGAAGCCATAGCCGAGATACTCTGCTTTCTCTTCCCATTCCGTGAGGGCAGAACAATCCTGGGATGGTAAGCTGGGCCATTCCCCAGCTTTGTTTCCAATCGGCTACCTGATCTCAGACAAGCCATTCCCTTGCTCAAGTTTCATAGGTGTTAATCAGGATCCAACTGGAGGATCATGGGTAATGCTCGTCCTGTCTCTGAGAAGGACTCTCTTCATCCTTGCTGTTTTAAGTCTAGTTTCTTTCTTTTGTTGTTTTCTATTTTATTATTGGTGATGCTAAAATAGCCGAGTATGGGAAATTTGCAAGAGAAGAACTAACTGTATTTAACACGCAGCTATGGGGACTAGACGTCTGAGATCTGGTGGCTGCTCTGTTGAAATAGGAGCAGCGGGGCTGTGTCCCCAGCACCCCAGCCACCTGCTAGCTCATGCCCGAACTAACAACACACAAACTGTATTAATTTAAAGACTGCTTGGCCCATTTCTATCTAGCCTCTTCTAGGCTAATTCTCACATATTAATTTAGCCCATTTCTAATAATGCTTGTAAGCACCCCAAGGTGTGCTTACCGGGAAGATTCTAGCCTACGTCCATCCTGGGTCTGAGCTTCATGCGTCTGCCTCAGAGCACAGAGCTATCGCGTGTCTACCAGGGAGAGCTGAGCATGGCATCTCTGCTCCAGAGAGCAGAGCTGTCAGGTCTCTCTGGGAGCAGAGCAGAGTCTGACCTCACTTCCTCTTCCTCCCAGCATCCTATTCTGTTTACTCCTCCCACCTATGTTTTAACCTATCAGGGCCAAGGAGTTTCTTTATTGCTTAACCAATGAAATCAACAGATTGATATATGACACTCCCACATCACTGCTCTTGCCAGGTTTCTCTCGTGAAGGCTCTGTGTTGCTCCACGCATGACAGGAAGGGCAGAAGGGAAGGGACACTTGAAAGAAATAAAATATAATTGAACATGTAATACAACCAAACCATTCTCTGGAGAGCAGCATCAATCCTTTCAGGAGAGAGCTGTGCAATCCCTCTCTTCTGACACCAATGGCAATCAGGCATCAACAGGAGTCTATCTGGCAAAAATGAACACCGTCTGAGACATGAAGCATCCTCTTCAGCCAGGAGCCCTGGAATCAAGGCAAACAGATGCCAAACAGTTGGCCATGATGAGCCTCCCACACCGACAACTCAGGCTTCCAAACGATGCGACTCTCCACCCAAGGGAATGCTTGCAGCAGACTCATGTCGGGCATGGACATAACTCTTACTGTTTTGCCACAGGCGTTTTTTTTTTTTAGCAGTGGTGTACCCCAGTATGTGATCATAGATCTTGGGGGACATTTGGATGATTTAGTCATGCAACTGGAAGTCAACCGGGTTGTGAGTCACCCAGGTGTCACCTTACCTCCAGGTCTTGCTACCCAACCTGAATTACTTCAAAGCTCCCCAATAATCAGTTTTGATTTTGCTGCAAGGTTGTAGCATATCACCCTGTCTCTAGGAGTGTCAATCAGTGAATTTGCAGAGTGATCGTGATATGCCAGGCAGATGTAATGACTACACATGGCCTCTGTGTGGAGGGGTTTGTCAACAGCTTTCTGCGGTCATTGTTTTCGTCACTGTGGACTTCTGTTAGAGCAGTTCTGGAACTTTCCCAGGCATGACGGCTGACCAGTGGGGCTAGGATTCCCACCCTCAGGAAGGTGGTGGCCAGAACTTTTGGAGGTCTCATCCAAAACATAGTCTCCGAGTCCACTATCCCCATATACCAGCCTGGGAAAGAGCCCTGGGAACAGACACCTACCTGACGGCAGTGTGCTGAGCGTCATTTTTTTTTCCAAGACGGGTTTTTCTGTAGCTTTGGAGCCTGTCCTGGAACTGGCTCTTGTAGACCAGGCTGGCCTTGAACTCACAGAGATCTGTCTGCCTCTGCCTCTCAAGTGCTGGGATTAAAGGCGCGCAATACCATGCCCGGCTTTCTGAGCATCATTTTGGGAAAGGCATGAGTACTTGGAATGTAGTCTTAGCACCCATGGGAGGTAGTGCAAGGTAAACACTTATCTTATGGATAAAGAAATCAGAAAGGAATATTCTCAATGATGTGGTAGCAGATACTCAGTTACAAATTAAACGTAGGGCCGCTATGCATGAGGATTTGCATTCGGCTCCCATCTAAAAACCCCAGCAAGGTGGCTCTAGCTTGTAGTACCAGCACTTGAGATGTTTGTTGACTGAGCTGGGTCCCTAGTTTTGCCGACCAGCTAGTAAACCTTAATTGGTGAGCCCCAGGTTCCAGTGAGAGACCCTGTCTCAAAAATAGGGGGATCCCTGAAGAATGATACACGAGGTTGACCTTTGACCCACATGGATATGTGCACACATGGGTACAGGTACACACACACACACACACACACACACACACACCTCCCTGGGTCTTTGTTCAGCTCTTCAGAACCACTTAAGACAACATTTACTACACAGAGTGAAGGTTCCAGAGACCCCAGATGACCTGGTTCATCGGTTGCTTCCCAGAGAGAATTCACTGGGGCTGGGTCTATTCCATAGGGTGCCTGTTTCTTGTCCATCCTTTAGGAACAAGCTAGTGACATGTTTACCGCCTATGGCATGGTTTTTTTTTTTTTTTTTTTTTTTTTTTTTTTTTTTTTTTTTTTTTTTTTTTTTTTTTTTTTTTTTACCACAGGACACCTCCAAACACCATTTGTGGCATCCAGGAGCCCACGTCCAAGCTAACCGAAGAAGACCTGGCATTCTTTATGTTATTGGAGGTCCATGACAAGTCAGCTCATTAGTTTGTTACAAACGCAGCAAGAAATCGCCACAGACTGGGAGGAGACCCAAGATGAGGGCACGGGCGGGGTCGATTCCTTCTGAGAGCTGTTAGGGATCTTCTAGGCGCCCACAGAAGATGGAAGAGCTGGAGACAAATGGCTGGCTAGGCGTAGAGATGCATGGATCCTGTGCCAGGTGATGTACACACATCTGGTTCATGTCTCAGTCATCATGGAAAACGCCGAGAACCCATCCCCGTTTTGATTGAAAGACTAAAAGTTAGTCTCGAGATTTCCATCTGGAAAGGTGTCTGGCTATCTTTCCAAGGCTGGTGGAGAAGCAGAAGGTCCTACAGGGCAATGGCTGTGGTTCACTCTGAAGGTGTCTCCTCCCAGCCCATGTCAGGTTACATGCCAGGCTCACTGGGTGTGGGGAACTGGCAACATTCTCAACTCTAGTACCCTAGTTGGCACCCTCTGGTGCTCTGTTGCCAGGCCTAGACTGTTCTGTGGAACTTACTGATGCTGTGGTTATGTCTGTACCTCCATGGTTCTCTTCCTCAGTAGCCAAATCTGAGTTTTCTCTCGGCCTGATCTCCCACAGCGATAATGTTGACTGGCACCTTGACACGATCTGGAGTTGTCTAGAAGATCAACTTCTAGCCATATGTATTTAAAGGATTATGTTAGTCAAGGAGGAAGGACCCGCCCTGAGTGTGGGCAGCTTTACTCTATGGTCTGAGGTCCTGCCCTGAATACAACGGAGGAAGTGAGCAGAGCCCCCGTGTTCATCGTCCTCTGCTTCCTGACTGTGGACAAGGTGGCCAGTTGCCTCACGCTTCTACCCCCATAGTGGACTGTACCCCCACAGACTGCAAGCCAGAATAGACACTGCCCCCTTAAGTTGCTTCTTGCCAGGTATTTTGCTACAGAAATAAGGGGAGTAACGAATATACCTCTTTTGGTGAAAAGATAAGAAAAATTAGTCTTTTAATATTGCACCTGAGATAAAGCCTCATGCAATTCACATTACAGTGGAAAAATATATAGGTGAAAGAGTGAACAACTTTTGATCAAAAACACTAGACACAGATGGCATGGCCAAGCGACCTCTGAGTCCCCCCACCCACACGGTCACCATGATAACCCCGCGTTCAGCTGCCTTTAGAGTGGACATGCTCAATGTGAAGTAGAGTGAAAAGGGCAAATCTCAAGGACACTGGACATAAGAACTATGCCTTCATCCCATGGGGGAAATGTTAGCCCCAGTCAGGCCTGGGGTCAGAAAGGACACTGGTTCTCCACCCACCCCTCCCCCAGCCTAGGTTACAGCAGAGGAGGGAGGGACCCGCGAACTGAGTCAGGCGGGAAAAGGCTACAGCAAGGAGAGCAGTGTATCAGGAGACCATCGTCTCGTGGCCATTTCTCCACCCTAGCTGCCTCCCACAGGGGCATCTTCCATTTCATGGTGTGGCCATATTCTGTGACCCCAAGACTGGTGTTCCCTCCCAAGCCTCCATCCTCTTCCACAGCTCCCTCCTCTTAGACCTGTCCTCAGTGCACCCCTATATTCCTTCCTCCTAGGGGTTGCTCTCTGCAGGGCTGAGCACATGGGGGGGTATGCTATGGGCCCAGTGAACACCTGTTCTTGGCTTAGGCAAAAAATATTAAAATAAATAAAACTTTAAAACACACACACAGGACATGTTTCAAGCTTTATTCTTTTCATTTGACACATGTGGAAATTTCTGCCCAGCGAAGCCTGGAGTCTTAGAAAACAAGACCATTGCTGAGAGTCCTGCAGTGACTCTGGCATAGAGAGCCCAGCTCCGAGGGCCGTGGGAACCACTGCCTCCTTGCCTTACTCCCCTTCCCAGGGTGACCACCATCACTTCTTGGCGGTCATTCTCCATCAGTCTCCAGACGATATGTTTGGCTGTTCTGGCTCTCATTATAACCAGAACCCTTGCCTGTAGGAATGGAGAGATAGACAAATGGGTTCAGAGTTGCACTGTTATTACATCGGGGGCTTAGGTAAGTCACCCGACTATGCTGTGCCTCGGTTTTCCCACTTGTAAAACAAAGACTATTATGGTACCATCCTGTAGTCAGGCAATAAATAAACTTCTATCTGAAAAGCGTTTGAGCAGCAGGCAGCTGCGGTGTGTCACCGTCCTCCCCAGGTGGTGGGGACCTAGCGGGGTTCGCCGGTGACCATGTCTTTCTGTGTCGCTTGCTGCTATGTCATGTCCCGAGTTTGCTTGGCTTGTTTCCATTTTCAGCAGAAAATTGAATTTGGATAGACCGCAGCCAGACTCGGCTGCTCTCTGGGTCTTGGCCTGTGAGCTCTGAGTAAGTGACAGACAGGGTGGGGTCACTGGGATTTGGTTGTTGCCTTTCTGCCCCCATGGCTTTGGGCAAGCCTCTTCCAAGACAGCCTGTTACACCTTCTTCAAACCGAACTCTCTGGAAGCGTGTTTGGGTCCCTGTGGCTGTCAACTGGAAAGAGCTGCTCTCAGGACAATGGCGTCCCTCTGTATCTGTCTTTCTCGGCTTGGCAGCGTGGCTGAGCCACATCTGGGTGACACTTATCTCCAGTGTCCACCACTCCACAGGGCAACGGTGGTGCCCCCATCTGCGGCGTCCTGACTCCTTCTGCATCATCTTCTATTTTTCTAGCCCTAAGTACCTTCTCCAGCCCTAAGTTGCACTAACCCGAGCTCCCTGGGGAGCAGAGGCAGAGCCCTCCACCTGTGTTTGGCTCAGTCCACAGCCTAGATCATCACCATGTGCACCCGTCCACCAGCTCCGGCTTGGCCAGCTGAGCCAGTGTGCCTGCTTCTTGGCTGTCTCCCCACCTCTCTTGGAATCTTGTTGGTTGAGCCTCAGCCCCCTTTCATTCTCCGTGACTCCAGGATGGGCTAGCAGAAAGCTCTGTCCATCTACAAGCCAAGGAAGAGATGTGTACAGCCTGAAGCATACATCTAGAGGGTGCATGCCCCTTAGATAGTTGTTTACTTATTTATTTGTTTATTTGTCTAAATCAAGAAGTCCCTAAACCTGTCAGCCCTGGGCACTAAATCTCATGACGCAGAGACCAGGCAAGACCTCAAAGTAGAACCCAGAACCCAGACTGCTCACAGGCTGGAGATGCCAATGGTGGGGGTGACCAGGCTATCTCCAGTGATGTAGTTACGACACCCTGTCCTGGGCCACTGGCGTCAGATGCAAAAGGAGTCGATAATGCTGGAAAAATCTGCCAGACAATTTATCCTGCTGGCACAGAGCCTAGAATTATAATCAGATCTTGACTCCTTCAAAGCCTCTTGCTTTGGATTTTTCAAAATCAAAAATAAATATTGAGGGCAATTACCTTCCCTTCCTCCTCTGATGTACGAAGAGGAGTTTTCACCCGTGAATTCAGGAGTCCTCTCATTTTACTCTGAAGGCATTAGTCTGTGGAACTTGTTAACGCAGTATCAACACCGTCTGTCTAGGCTGTGGCGGAGAAGAGAGGGGAGTTACTGTGTTCTGGGTTAGTATTTTCTCCTTTTTAAGGAGTCTCTGGCCGGCCGGACACTTTTTCGCAGAAAAAAAAGGGGCTGTTTTCTTCCCATTACTGGAGGCATTGCTTATGTCCACCCATTTGCTTGCTTGTTACCAGGACGCCCTCCAGGGGGCAGCAGACCACAATCTGTGCGTTTCCTCTGCCTCCTTGCCCAGTTTAAACTGGTCTAAAGCGGAGGTCTGAAGGGCTGGACCTTAGCTGTTTTCTCTGGGCTTCCCTGGACTCCACGAGAAAGCCTGGAGGAGAAGCAAAGCCCCACCAGCCTTATTTTTGGAGCGCTGTGGACATGACCAGACCTATTAATTACTTAATTGAGGCACAGGGCTTTGAAGATGAAACGTACCACGTAAGTGGAGAATTCGGTGGCTTCCAGCCCAGGAGCGTCTTTTCAAGGTATTGCGTTTACTCTGGTGACCTTTGCCTGCAAGCACAGACACCCCTACCTCCATTCCACCCCCAGCTGGGGACTAAGGGGTGTCTTCTAGAGAGACTCTTTTAGCAAAACTTCTTTGATCTCAAGCCACGCCCACTCCCTAGGGCCAGCAACTAATTCTAACGTCCCTATAGTGGCATTCACACAGGCTCTGGCTCTGTCACGGGCCCCCAAGGTAATGGAGCCAAAGTAAACCGGGTACTCCATAGCCTCTACAGCTCAGGCATTGGTCACTAACCAGGCAGGACCTCCAGGCATGAGGCCAACTGTAGGGAAAATTCGTTTACTTGGGAAATGTGGACAATGTCAGCTCCCTCCTTATAAGGTCCCAACAACAGCCCCAAGCATAACGTCCCAAATCCAACCTGGGAAATCAATGAATTTCTTGGACTTACTTATAGAGCATGGGTGAGGGGTGTGCTGGTCGCTCTGGGCAGGCTTCCCTCAGCGTGGGTGATGGAGACCTCCCCCGTTCATCTCCTCCAGCCTGTGTACTCTGGTAGTTCTCGGTCGATCACATACAGCAGGGGCAGTCGTGCACACAGACATTGGGAAGGAGAGTCTGGACTCTCAGATGGAGAGCCAATGTCCCTCCCCACCCCTACCCCTTCTCCCAGAACACATTGGGGCCAATCCCTGATGGCGATGGTCTCTTACAAGCGGATGGGATGAACCTGGTCAGAGGACAATGGTGGCTCTTTTGCTTTGAGGACTGTGTTGGACAAGACCCACTCTCCCTGGCAGGCGTCTCCAGCACTCTGTTGTCTTGGAGAATAAAGGACATGAGGAGGTAAGGAGGGGCCATCACAAATGAAATCAAAACACAGGTAGTAGAGGAAACACATCAAACGCAGGGTGGATGATTTAGGTTACAAAGAACTTTCCCTCCTGTATAATCTTCAATTCCCCCCAGGAACCTGAGGGTGTGGAAGGAATGGGTAAAGGGTGGTATGACCAGGAGACAGGATGGAGTGGGGTGGGCATGGGGACCAGGCAGGACCAATGTCAGCCGTTCCTTCATCATTGGGTTGGGATGATTAAACAGGCAAAACCCTGAAGGCCAGAAACTCCAGGTGGCGGTTCAACCTAGGATCTGAGCAGGTGATCCTAGCAGTAATATTAATCCTTGTGGTTTGATTTCTACCATGGGGAAAAAAAAGAAAGAAAATATCAAGGTAAAGTCGGGCTTTGGATATGCTGTGCTCTTGGTGGGGTAATTCTCGGAGACGTAATTAAGTCTCTGGAGAATCTAGACTATAGAGTCAAAGGAGCCATTGAAGGAACTCAGGAGTCTAGCCTGGCTGTAAAAGACTCTCAGAGAAAAGAGAGACCCCAGACTCACCCTGGGCCCCAACCCCTGGGACATTTACCTCTTTTACACCCAGGGCATGTGAAATGTGTGTGTGTGTGTGTCTGTGTCTCTGTGTGTCTGTGCGTGTCTGTGTATGAGTGTGTATGTCTGTTATGTGTGTATGTGTGTATATGTGTGTGTATATGTGTGCACGTGCACGCGTGTGTATGTGTGTATGTGTGTGTGCACGTGCGTGTGTGTGTGTGTGTGTGCATGTGTGTGTGTTTTCATGTGTGTGCTCCTGGAGGCCAGAGGACAACCTCAGCCTCCCACCTTGTTTTTTTTTTTTTTTTTTTGAGATTGGGTTTTTCATTGACCTGGAACTTTCCCTGTGGGCTAGGCTGGCCAGCCTGCAGGCTCCAGGCACCTTCCTCTCTGTCTCACCAGCGTTAGCATTGGGAGCACATGCCACCAACCCCGACTTTTAAAACCATGAGTTCTGGAGCTCAAACTCAGGTAGGTCCTCATGCGGCAATCAGTTCACTAGCTCAGCATATGGCTTCCACCTACAGCGCCCAGCCTCAGACATGGATGGGGCCCTTTCCTTTAGTGTAGGGAGCCAGCCAGTGGGCCCAGCTTCCTCGACCGGGTATTGTGATCACAAGGGCAGCACCTTGATTTAAGTATTTTACTTGAAAGTCCCCTAGACACCAACTGCAGTGTTTTTAGCCTTCAGCCTGTTTCCTGCCCACACTGACAGAAGGATGTGCAGCAGAGGGGCGGGAGGAGGGAGAAGCCAGAGTCACCACACAGCTGGGCAGCGGCGAGGATCAAGAGCATGGAGCCTGAGGTTCCCCAGGCTCAGAAGCGCCATGGGGTGATGTTAACCCTTTTCTACCCTCCTGTCCCTAAGTAATCCAACTGCCCTGTGATTCGCATCTCACCTGGTGGTTTCGTCCACCTGTATCGCTGCCTTAGGCTTTTACCACAGTCCAAATGGATGAGGTTCTCAACTTTAAACCTTCAAACTGTGATCTGAATATCTAAATCTATTCCTTACTTTAAACAGCACCCAAGGCTGTTACTTTGCAATAAAAAACAAAGATGTCACCCATTCAAAGAAATAAAGGATAGTGTTAGTGGCTGCCCTTCGGAATCCGTCTGTCCAGCAATCATCTTCCTAGCCCCTCCCTCTGTCCATCCATTGTCCACATCCACCTTCCATGAAGATATGATCATAAGGGCTTTCTGTTGTTTGCCTTATTGTTTGCTATCTCCTATTCTATTTGAAAGTTTATTATTATTATTTTATTTTATATGTGTGTGCTTTGCTTCCATGCGTGTCTGTGCATCATATACATGCCTCATGCCTTAAGAAGCCAGAGAGGGTATGGAGCTCCCAGAACCAGATTTACAGATGGTTGTGAGCTGCCATGTGGGAGCTGAGAATTGAACGTGGGTCCTCTGCAAGAGCAGCAAGTGCTCTTAACCACTGAGCTATCTCTTCACCCCTCTTCTCTTTTTTTAAGGGGTGTCTCACAATGTGGCAAATTTACTGAATCAGTCTTTTAATCAGTCCTGTGGGCTCCAAATGTCTTTACTGTTCTAAGCCACAGGGAGTCTGGCATCTTTGAAGAGGCATTCTCATGCCTCTGTTGCTGTTTCACAGGACAAGTCTCTGGATATGCTGTAAAGTGCTGGTTTGAGGGGCAGGCATTGCTTGAGGTTTTAGGGTGATTCTTTTGAAATATCATTCTAAATGCCCCAAATAAGAGTAACATTCATATGTATTTACCAATTATTTTCCTATTAATGTGGAATAAAAATGGCATCTCACTACTGGTTGGATATTTTAAAGTTTTAGAAACCTTTATTCACATGATTTTCTGGACGCAGGGTTTTGCTCTGCACCACAGAATGGGTCTCCTGCGTCACCCATTTGAGTGCTGGAGTTGTAGACATAAATTTACTTTTTATTGGATTTAATTCACATAAAGTGATCTTATTATAAGTTTACCAGTGAATTCTAATGTATAGAAATGTCCATATAAGTACCATCCTACCCAAATACACATTTCCAACTCTTCCAGAAAGTTCTGTGTTATCCTCTCCTAGTTAACTTCCCCCACTTCCTTAACAGTTTTGCCCATCCATGACCCTCATATAACTGGGAGCACCTAGCATCTATGCTGTGCCTGGCTTCCCCCATTATTTATTTATTTATTTATTTATTTATTTATTTTAGTGTTTCTCTGTGTAACCCTGGCTGTTCTGGAATTCTCTCTCTGTACACTAGGCTGGCCTCAAACTCAAGAGATCTGCCTGCTTTTGCTTCCACAGTACTGGGCTTAAAGGCGTGCACCGCCAGCGTCTAGTCTGAGCCTGGCTTCTTACACTCAACCCCACGTCCGTCAGATTCATCCACGCTGGTGCCTTCTTTTGTGTATATTACGGTGCACGGGCAAACACTACCCGCTTACTCATCTTCTGTGGAAAGCTGTCTTGATTGTTTCCAGTTGGTTTTGCCATGCTTGGGGGATGTACGTGTTCACGTCCCTGGAGTGGAAGGAGGCGCGGGTCACTCTGTATATTTAGCTGTGGCAGATACTTCCAAATATTTTTCTGAGTGGTTGTATCAACTTACCCCAGCAGAAGCACTTGAGAAGGGCATTTGCCCCGTACTCTTTGCCAGTCATGCGGTATTTTTAGTTCTTTAAATACAGTGGTTTTGTTTGTATTTTTATTATTATAAAGTCAGTTGCTTAAGGTCCCACAAATGTTGTCATTTGGGTTTCTAGTGTTTCCTTCCCCCATTATTTCCTTCTTATTAATAGCTTTTTTTGTGTGGGGGCTTATACAGGGTCTTGTTATGTAGTCTAAGATGGATTTGAACTTGAAATCCTCTTGCCTGTGCCTCCTGAGTGTTGGGGTTACAGATGTTCCCCATCACATTCTGCCTGGGTTGCTCCCTTTCTGACTAGCTTGATGGAGAAGGCTTCTGTCCGTCTTTTGTAGCAGGGTGGTTGTATTTTCCTATTGATTTTCAAGGTTGTTATTATAACACTTGCTTTTAAAAGTTGTCTTCACATCTGCTTATCCTTAAACAAAACAAGACCATGTGTGGATGAATGAGGAAACATTCACATGGGCTGGGAGATACTCTAAGGCCTTCCTAAATAGTCCCACCAGTCCCGACACTTGGCCGAAGAATCTAAGAACAGGTATAAAAGAACCCACCATGAGTCTCACTGCTCCTGACTATCAGGGCTGTGGGGTCTGTCAGGAATTCAGACCTAGGGGTAAGAAAGACACCAGAGTGCAAGCCTTCAGCAGCGGAGGCCCACCGTCCAGCCTTCAGCAGTGGAGTCCCACTGTCCAGCCTTCAGCCGCGGAGGCCCACTGTCCAGCCTTCAGCTGAGGAAAACCCACTGTCCAGCCTTCAGCCGCGGAGGCCCACTGTCCAGCCTTCAGCTGAGGAGGCCCACTGTACAGCCTTCAGCTGTGAGGCCTGTGATGAGTCTTCAATGTCTGCCTCACCTCCTGTTGCTCCCTTGCCACCTGTCAGGCTGAGCCAGTGCTGTCCCCTGGCTATGGCTTGGGTCTGGAAGGCCCCATCAGCTCAGTCCTTCCATGTCTGCTGAGCTACGCTGTCATTGGGAAGGAGACTGTTATTAAACTCCCCGTCTGTGACTGAACGCGGTGACTGAGCTGACTCAGCCTTGAGCAGATCCTACACAGGCCATTGCAGCTGCTGTGAGTTCGGGAGTGTTGCAGCCATGTTGGGTCATAAGACAGCATATCACGGGCCTCCACTCCCTCATCCAGCTTCTATGTTCTTTCTACACACTCTTTCATGAAGGCGCCTTGGAGGGGAGGAGGAGATCTCTGCTGTTGCTCTGTTCATGCCAAACATTTCACCCCATCCTGCATAGAAGGAGACCACGTAACCCTGAAAACCACCCAAAGTAGGAGTCATTGGTGGTTCACTCTGCAGGTAGACCAGATATCCCAAGGCCTTGGGGTCCAAACCCAGGCAGGCAGGGTCCAGACTCAGTCTTAATCACTCCCCCAGGCCGCCTTTCAGCTAAGGGAATAAGGAGTCAACAGCCCAGGCTGTGGCCAAGGTCAAAAGTCACCAGGTTTTTAAGGCTTTGAGTATCTCCTTTCCCTTCCCCGCCCTCTTCCCTCCTTCTTCCATTCCCCTTCTCCTCTCCCCTCT